TTTTTTTTTTTTTTTTTTTCATTTTTTTGGTGTTTAAAAATAAAATGCATGTTTCAAAACTGTTTAACTGTATTTACATTGAACCTTATGGGGGAAATTTCCCTCGGGTTGCGACCAAATTCGGAGGGCAGATTAACTGTATTTACATTGAACCTTATGGGGAAATTTGCCTCGGGTTGCGACCAATTTGAGATGCGATCAGAGTCACGGAACAGATTAAGTTCGTAACCCGAGGTACCACTGTACTTGGAGCTACCTTTAAAGACTATTTGGAAATTATAATTGATACAGAATGTAGTAAGCAATATGCTGAGAGCAGAGAGATGGTTCAGTAATGTTGTGCCTATATTATAGGTGCTGCAGTGGCTTCCAGTGTGTTTCTGACTACAATCTAAGGAGTCGGTATTAACCTAAATACCCTGCAGGGTATGGAAACAGGATATCTTCAGGACCATCTCCTCCAAGTTGACTCTGGCCATCCTGTCCCCAGCGCAGGGAGAGAAGGTGCTGAGGCCAGAAACAGTGCTTCCCCATTGCTGCTCTGACCTTATGGAACAGCAGGGGGGACCAGATGGCCCCCATTTTAGTTATTTTACAGAAAGCTGTTAAGACCTGCCTTTATATCAAGCCTTTGGAGATGGACATCTATGTTTTGCAAGCCACTAGTACAGTAGCATTGTACTATTGTCAAATCAGTAATTTGACTGATTTGGTTTTATGTTTGTTATTAATGTGGTTATATGGTTTTTATTATCTTTTATGTTAGGTCTTATGAATATCATAGCATTTTATAATTTAGCTGTTTACAAATACTAGGACTATATAGCATACTTCAAAGTCAAAAAACTTTGCTTCTAATAAGGAGCTTTATATTGGAAGCTGTAGCTACCCCATCCTTACTCAGCTAGTGCTCAAAAGCCAGAACTGGCTGTTTGAGTTGGTCCTGAGTTTATCTTTCTCTCCAGCATGCTATCCCATATATACTTGTTCTTGTTTCCTCTTTGCCTTCAGATATTCAGTCATAATGGGATGGCTGTATGGGTGGGTGGATACTGATTCTGGCCTAGATCTGATTAGTTAAGCAATGAGATCTGTTTCCATCTCTTTGATTCTGTGATGATATGTGGGAATGGCCTTGGGAGACAGGGAGAAGAGATGCAGCCAAGGGAATGGTCAGATAAAAGGCAACTGAGGCCGCAGCAGGAATGTGGGTGGGGCAAGGGGCCCAGAAGGGCCATCCCTAGTTTCTTGGGCTGTAAAGGGGACGGGGGGAGAAATGTACTTTGAGACTTGCAAGATTCTGTTAACGTAACCTTACAATAAAGTAGAATTAGCTCATCAGCCATGCTTTCTGTCTGGTCTACCTCACAGGGCTGACAGATACCAAGTATTAAGGGTAGTTCACAGATGCAGCTGGGGGCAGGGTGAACCACAGAACATCCCCCCCATTCAGCCAGCTCCTAAATTAAATAGTGATTACAAGTCTCACTGATACATTCCAATGGTAACTCTTACCATATTGTATTATGCCAAGTTTTCAAGTTGGCATAATTTTTTGCACTTCTTTTGTAACTTCTGATTGCTTTTTCTAGGACAAGCATTTATTCTTCCTCTGCACCTAAAATCTGTTTCTTTTTTCATAATTCTGCCTTAGAACGGGTATCTGATCGAATGCGTATTTTTAAATATATGTATATATAGTCAGATGGGAGAATAGGTTGCAATCGGTATGATTTTTTTTTTTTTTGTCTTACAAATGTGAGAAAATGGTAGGTTTTTTAATATTGCCTTATAAGTTTCTTTTTTATCATTATTATTACTGATGACTTCATTTTGTTTGAATTCAATGCTTCAGTTCCTTTGGGGTAAACTAATAGATTATGTATGCGATATTTGCCTGGCTCTGATTGAATTCATCTGGTGACTCTGAATGTAGTTCATATATTCATGTAATTGTCAGGAGGCAAACTGAAATTCAGAACTGCTGAAGGATTGGATATCACAATCATTTCACATTGCCTGGGACCTGAAGTTCATTTTTTGTTACACAGTTCATATTTCTATCCCCAATTAGGCTTAAATCCTTTTAATTATATTGTTGTCAACCCTGATTGAGCAAAATCCCTCAAAGTCTCTGGTCTGGTTTTGATGTTTGGGGGTGGGGGGGACACTGAAGGTACAGTGCAAAGCATTGTCTTTATCACACAAATCGAGCTCCCCCTCTCTACACCCCGCTCAGAAATTAGTTCTTAGTATGGAACTTGATAGTTTTGCCCTGCAATTAAGTTGGGGTTGGTTTGCCAACATGCCCTACAATCTGATGCAACACAGTCAATTTTTATATGGGCCTTAGTATTTAAGACCATACATGTGGGCCATGTAATCTCATAATTGTTCTGCAAAGGGTTTCTCAGAGGAGTTCCGATGCACCTGAGAAATTGCCGGCATAGGCAGCTTGTTAGTCCATAGGCAACTTGTTAGTCCGGCAAGCAGTCAGTTAAGTATGATGTCTGAAAATGAAGACACTAATTCATAATAACAGAAACTGCATGAACTGCCTTGATGAAAGTTGTGTGAACTGTGAAATCACGATCAGATGTGCTTGCTTCAAGTTTCCAGGCAGGAAGAATGTCCAAGTAAGGAAATGTATGACTGTAGTAAAGGTTATTAAACATGACCGTTGTGCACATTTGTAAGGCGTCACATCCAGATAAATTACTCAGGATGTGCAAATCCATTTTACTGCCTGCATGATAGATTTCCATTTTGGTAGATTTATGTCAGGATTTTTAATAAAATATCTAGATATAATCCAGTTGATTAATTTGGGGTAGGGGGCTTGTTTATTTTGTAAAATGTCACCTGGTTATACCAAGAACCACCAGAAAGAAGAAGCCATTTCAGCAGCAAGCCCCACATTGCTAGGAGACTTGTAACATTTGTGCTGTGAAAAGCAAGAAAAAGTGTACATTTGTGTGTACATTTACAAAAAAGGGTCAGGTTTCTTTTTTCTTTTGCTCTTTGAGGGAGGATGAAGGCTTGTTCCCTCACCTCTCTCCCATGGATCAACTGAGAGTGAAAAACTGAAACTGCTGCTCTCAGGGTTCATAGCAAAATGCTTTTACATCCCTCTCTATTACATGTAGGTGAACGCAGGAAATGTGCAGGGTTGACGGTATCCTCTCTATTGTGCTGTGAAACAAATGATGCATTATTTTATTAAAAATTCATTAACATCTGCTATGCACATTGGAGCACTTTGTTATATTCCATGTGCATGGAACCGGTTGAACTATCTAACAAGGCCTCTTTCGTCCCTCACAAAAATGATTGTTTCTTCCTCTACATATCATCCCTACATTTGGGCAGACGTAGGAAATGTATGTGGTATCCACCAATGTCACTGTGAATCAAATTAGTTTCATAAGTTTACATTTAAACCCACAGAAGACAGGAAATGTACATCTTGGCCAGCTAACTTTTTTTTTTTTTGGTCTTCTTGTTCATGCATGTAGCTCAAGCTCAACATTACAGACATCTGGATATGCTTCCAATCATGCAAATAAGCATCACTGTGCCTTTCATTTTACCAGCCATGCCATAGCTCTTTAAACAAACCTTCCACAACTGTTGGCAAGATTTGTTAGGTGACAGATAAAGGAGGGAAGAGAAGTCAGATGGACAAACACAGCACTCTAGCAAAGAGTTGCGGGAAAAGATAAGGGGGTCACATGTAGTAAGCAGGTTATTTCTACCAACTTCTCTGAGCACAGTGGATAATTGTTTTTAACACATGTCAAGAAGCTGGCTTAATGTACAGCTGAAAAATAATTATTTCTTCAAGGAGAAAGAACTCAAACTCAGAGTAGGATAGAATTCTGCTATTGTACCATTTTCCAGATAGCCTGAATAGTGATATGACTTACAGGTGGTTCTCATTTCGTGACCACAATTGGGACTGGCAACTTGGTCATTAAGCAAAGCGGTCACTAGGTGAAACCATGACTGTGTTTATGATCTTACTTCAGCTTTCCTTTCCTTTACAGACCTGCAAAGGTTGTAAATGTGACGATTGGTTGTAAAGTTACTTTTTCATCACCGTAAGAACTCCAAATGGTTGCTAAATGAGGCAGTCGCTAAATGAGGAAGACTTGCATAATGAAACCCACAAAGAACTCTAAATAACATTTGATGTATGTGTCACATGTGATTCTCTTGAAACTGAAATAAAATTGTAAAAAAAGAAGCCCTAGCTAGCATGATATGGTATGCATGTATTTACCTAATTGTGGCTTATGAAGAACCAGCTAAATGAAAAATTGCTTTGCTTAATGAATTCAGATATGAACTAGCTGAAAGTAAGTATTCTCAGATATTATTGATATATCCCTTCTGTATCCAGTGATCGTCCACCCATTGGAACTGCTGATCGCATCCAGAAGTTACGTAAAGAGTATCATCAGGCAAGGAGAGAAGGTCTACCTTTATATGATGAAGAGGAAGGTAGAGGAAGATCATCTGATTATGATCAGCATTGGGTAGGTGCTCAAAATCTATTCAAAACAATCTAATGTATTATCTGTGTTAAGCAAATCATTGAGAAGTATATATATAGGCTTTGAAAAATATAAAAATAGTTATCAGACCAAATCAATCTTTATTCTATTCATAGACCAGCATTAAAAAAGTTATCAATCCAAGGTTTAATAGTTAAATATTATATTAATACATTGTTTTAACTGATGTTGATTCCATATTCAGCTAGACTAATGGCCACACACCAGATAAATTAAAAAGTGAATAATTTTACCAAGCATGTACTGTGGGCATGTGTGAGGGTTCTCTTCCTCTTTTTCCCGTGTTAGCCTTACATTATTACATGTAGTCTTGAAAACAAATAATGGCATTTGATTTATTTCTTTTCTCTGGAACTTTGATCAATGCTCTCCCCTCCCCACCCTGTCTTGTGATTCTGGGAAATTCTCAGAAGCTTTCAGAACCAAAGTAGTCATTATGCTAAATAAGTGATAGAACAGTCTCCCTTGGATTGTATAGACATAAAGTAGCATTTTTGTGTAAACCTGTTCCTTGTTCTGCACCCTCTGCTACCATGCATTAAATTCTTTCAAGAGTCTGGAAACCATCTTCTTATCATGGGATCTTGGAGTAGGGATTATTGACATTGTTAAAATCAATTTATCCTAAACTTTATATTCACTTAGCACTGAACATTTTAAATAATATATCGTTCACATCAACTCCTTGTATTTTATAGATTATCTCACAAATATATTGCCCAAACCAAAGTGAATTTAAGATTAAGACAGTGCCAACTATTCACAAAGCAGTAATTTGATATGAAGCTGGAGACTGTGGGGAAGCCAAGATAGTCCTAGGGGAGGGCAGGGGCAGGGGGGCAGGGAGACTGCTTAACCCTGTATAATTTTTTCCCCACGATTTGTTCATTTTTAGTGCCTTTAAAAGAAATATATCATAACAACTTTGCTGGTCACACAGTCCGAGTTGATTAGGGAATACAGTGTCAGTCAGAGGATGTAACAATACCAAATTGCCAATGAGATTTGAGTGGAGGCTGAGAGAGAGGAACAACTAGGAAATTCTTGTATGATGTTTGAAGGCATTACTTTATTTAGTTTATTTAGCATAATGACTGCTTTGGTTCTGACAGCTTCTTAGTAACAGGAGGAAATAGGGTTAGGAGAGGATTGATTAAATTTATGAAAAAAAGGAAACAAATCAAATGTCTAATCTGCAGTTGTGAATTATTAATAGATTTTCCTTGTTCATGTGTGAATTGCTTCTTTTTAAACAGAGACTAAGAGGATATTCAAACAAATTCTTTACATTTTCTTGAGTTATTTATTTAGTTATGATTGTGTGTGTGTATATGCATGCTTTTCCTTTTTTCTCATTTTTCCCTTTTTTTATTTATACATTAAATATAGCATTTGCTGTTAGAAATCAACCTCTGAGTACACTGAACCTTGGGAGGGATTGTGGAGGATGAAGATGGCGCAGTATGCACAGGGCAATAACTCCATGTACTTTAAGATAACACATTGCCTTGAGTTGCAATAAAAGAGGACTGAGAAACTGCCAGGCCAGTTGGCTCCTGAGTGTAGCAGGTGTTCATGTTATTCTTCACTTTAAGCTACAAATGATCTGCCCTACATTTATGATCAAGTCATCCTTGTAATCACACCAAATCCATTCAGTTTGGGATTGGGTTGTTGGGAGAATAAATGGTACTTTCGAGTTTTAATTCAGTGCCCAAAGGAATATTGTATACTTGGATGTCCTCTACTTAAATCAGTTTAAATAATATTTGACTAAGTCAACCTACTTGACCAAATATACCCAATTTTAGTGCATAGTTTTGTTTGGATTGTTGTTTTTAATGAAATCCTATAAAGAATGTGTCTATATTCCCAAGGTAGATGGTGAAAAACAGTTGATATCTTGACCAGGTCTGTGGTGCTTTTGGAGCTGCCAAGTATTCTCATTTCCTATCAAACCCTGAAGGGCTTTATTACCTTTCTGAGTATGGCCCCATTGAGTCTCTGAAGCTTTACAAAAGGCCCTTCTGGGTAATCCCTTTTAAGCTGGTTCTATTAGGTGTAATACCCTAAGATTACTGATTCCCAAAGCTACATGTTTCCTGTGAGGGGAGGGGTTGTTAATCAAAGCACCCAAGATAGCTTTAAAGCTCTCAAACTGATTAATATCAGAAGCCTTCAGATGGTTTCATATCTCATTCAAAGGCACTTGTGCTAACATTAACTCTGTGACTTTCACACTGGAGGAAGGAGGAGAAGTACAACTTTACTGGCCAGTTTTGTTTTTGTCTTGGGGAGAGGGGTTGTGCAGATGAGGTAGGTGTTTCTTGAGCCCTGCTCTTCACTGTATAGGTTTGTGATGAACATTGGACAGTCCTATTTCTTTATCAGACCAGGGGTTTTTTTTTAATTGAAAAGCAAGTTTTCTCACGCCAAAGAGCAAAACAAGAAACCCTCCTGGAACGGAAGAGCCTTTATCTCATTCTTGGAAGAGAATGCTTTCAGCCAGCCCATATCCAAAGCAAAGCATACATTTCTCTAGTACTTTGCTACAGAGTTGCATTGTAATACTTTTCCCTGGCCAAATTGGGGTTGGGGGTTCTAAAGTTAGAAGGTTCTCCAGTCTTTCCAGGAGCAGCTATACAGGAAAAAGTTTCTGCCAAGGCAAGGAACTTTTTCTGGTACCTGGCTAAGGGAAGCTGAACCTGGGAAATTGAGATGGGGGGAGCAAGTCCTCTTGTCCCACATGACACCCACATGAAGCTTTTACTACCCAGAGCAGATTTTTTAAAAAATGTTTTTAAAAAGAAACCAACTTCCTGGAAAGCAGCAGATATGTTAATGTGCTGCTATGCTAATAGGTTGCATCTCTATATTTTTGCAATCTCTCCTCTCCTCAAGTAAATGCTCGGTACTTGTCCCTGTCTTGGCTTCACTCATTTCTTTGCCACTTTGCTTCTCTAGGACACATTCCTCCAATGCCCACCCCATTTTTAAGCAAAAATAGCAGCAATCAACTTTGTTTATTGAGATGATCAGCTCTTGCGTGGGCCTAAGTCAGAACCTGATCAGGCTGTCCATCAGCTGTGAGCCTGTTGACTGAAAACACTTTGTGTAGATTGTCTTCATGAACTCTAATTTACATACCACCAGTCAATATTATTAGATAGATGGATTCCTTCCTTCCTTCCTTCCTTCCTTCCTTCCTTCCTTCCTTCCTTCC